TTTGTCATACCAAACATGCATGACCACTTGACCACCGTAATTCTTCATTATATGTATTGAATATGATTGTATTAAATGTATAATCTGTTTATTTTAATAATTTTCTGTTTTAAAAACTCTATAATAATCACGTAGTGGATAAAAAGGATTTTTTTTTTTATTGGGAAAGAAGAAAAAAGAAATTTTTAATGGATTTTTTTAGCTTTTTAATTCTTTACTTAAAAAAATAAGACGGCTTAAAATATTTGACGATATACAGCCAATACGTTTGTATTTCCTTTATCCTCGTTTTGTAATAAGGAACAGGTAAATGCCAGACTGAACATTAAAAAGATGATGTATAAATTTATTACTTTCTTCTGGACTTGTCTCTCTAAGAAAAATTAACACAATCCTTTTAATTTTGTTAATTACTGATTTAATTAATTAGTTAATTTTGCACAAATGATTTATACCAAGTGACAAGTTTGTATTATTTTGATTCGAAATAAAGTCCTTAAGATGCTTTAATTATACTTTTTACTAACATGTAAAGCAGATTAAAAAAAAGAACGCATTTGTGCAAGCTGACCGCGGAAAATATTTTTGAAGTAATTCAGCGGAAATCCGAAGTTAACTTTTAATTGTTATCCAGTTCGCCGGGCAAAAGCACAAAACGTTGCAGATTGAAATTACTGCATCCTTTGTTACAATTGCGCACACTAGTTGTTAGTGTTGAAACGAGTTAATTAGGTTTCATTTCGTTACCTAACTTGCTTAACGACATGCAAGTTGTTATCCATTATCCATCAAAAGGCATCAGTTTTCCTATGACTTCTGAGGAAACCATCCCATCCATGGATTATGCTAGAGTTTCAATAGTTAGTCATTGCATTGATGTTCAATTAACCCCTTGACATACAAATTAAATGGAACTTTATATACAAATTAAATGGAATGAATGACGAGTCAAACTCGTCATTGTATGTCAAGGGGTTAAATAATTTCACTCATGATTAGTAACAGTTAATCAATTGAATATTTTCCAGAGATTTCCAAAATAAGATTGGATTTTAATTTTGTTTTCGACGAGATTTTCGTCTTAATTATAATTTTCGCTGAAAATTCGCGAGGCCCATCGTAAACGACATCTTCGTTCAAGACAGAGAGACGTCGCCTCTTTATGAAATCTATCATGATGAGACGCCTAGAGAAGCTCCGGTGTATTCTTGATGGAGCCCGGGCGTCTATTAATTTTCAGCTAACAGTGACACGGCCCATGGCGGCCTAATGTGATTACAACTTTCTGGATAATCAGACTTGCTTGGGAGGAAACACACCGGGATAGCCGGAAAGTTCACCGTGGACTTCGTCGTGATTTGTCCGAGGCGTCGCGTTGCATCCTGTCTTTAGAGTTTTAAAGGAAAATGTTAGACCTGATGGGTTTTTCAGTAAAAGAAGAAACGTTTCTGCTTCTGTCGTTTTAACGCTATTAGCTTCTTCAAGCTATCAAGTTTGCTTTGACCTGAAAAAAATGATCTTAAGTTGCTACCGTTTATTTTCTTATCGCGTCTCTTTTAATTACTTGTATTATTAATTGAACCTGTTCAGGGACGTGAAGAAAAGTGAAAGAAAATCAATTTAATTATTCTTTCTATTATGAGTAATCTATGTTTTCACTTGGAATAACTTCAATTTAAGAAAAATTAAACACACTTTTTTATAATTGCTTCTCGAATAATAAATGGACAGCGGATTTTTATGTAGCTATAACACGTCGAAGTATGCAAGATATGTGCAAAACGAATATCAAGTATATGCATCATAACAAATGAAAGTACGTGACAATAGTTTTTATACATAGTACTCTATGTAATGTGCAGTTATGCAAAACGTGTCCAATATACAAAATACAAACTATATTTTTAAATTCCTCTAATGACAAAACAAATTTCTGTTTATACAAATAATTTTATTTACTTTCTACAGAAATATGCATTTGCATGATCATCCGCTATATATTAATAAATAAAGAATAAAAGCGTCCGTATAAAATACAAACGCGTTTAATTTCAAAAGATCAAATTGGATGTATATATTTTCGCATCTCTTGGAAATCCATTTCGAACTTTACTCTCGAACGGTAAAATATTTTCGAGATAAGGAAAATTCCATTTAACACGATATCCATTTCCAAGTATTGATGCAATTTCGCAATTCAAACTCAAGTTCTGGAACTCGGGTATAATTTTCGTCGACTGCATTCCACGCTGATCGACGACAGAGCCACCACCACCACCATCCAGCTTCCAGGACAGCCTCCAATTAAGCTTTAACCGACATCTTCGCATATTAAGATTTCATAAATCTAATAACGATAATGCACTCCTGGCTGAGGTGTAGAAGTACGTAGTCGGTAATGCGAAGTGAGAGTTGCAATCGGTTCCAACGATACGCGGAGAAAACGTCGTCTCTCCTCTCTCCCTTGTTCGTGTTTCGGTGCAAATTACCGAAGCTTTTTATCCTTTGAAGGACTACAACCATGGAGTCTTTGCGATTAGATCAAGCCTGGCTTTTCCTTTTCAACTCCTGCTCTTCTTCCGGCTACCTCGTCTTCCGTCTTACTTTCCATTTATACCTCCTTTTTTTTTTTGTCTTTCACTTTGATTTCGTGCATTTTTTTCTCTTATTTCCCTCCCCCACCTCGGCGCGCCCACTGTTGTCGTATCCTTCGAACAACTTCCTTTCCTTCTCGGACTTTTGTCTTTTCTAGTTCCATTCTTCTGCTTCGCTCCTCGTACTTTGTAGATGCTCTTTGTATCAGTTGTTTTCTTGGAATGATTTCTCTGAGAGTAGCTACGTTACGTAACGAAATGTTATCAGCGGTAAGAATAAGAATATTGATGATACAACGCGAGTAGCCGTTGTTCGATTTTTATTAAGTTCATTCTCTGTTCCAGTTTTATGTCTCGCAAACAGGTTCCTGTTTGTTTTTAAAGCTTTATTCACGTAGAGAGACGATTATATCTTTTTAAATAAATTTTTCACCGTATTACACGCTCTGCGCGTGAAATATTATCCAAATTCTGAGTAACTACAAGAATGTCCAGGAGCTTAGATCATAATGTTATGATGCACAACGCCTGTGTAGGCAGTACCTATTTAAAGAATGGATCTACTTGGTTATAGATAAATCAATAAATCCAATAAAGATATTTTATGAGCGCTTATCAAATATAAGTTTAAGCATAGGAAAATACGGGGAGAAATTCAATAACGGTCTGCTGCTGCGCCTTATTTGGAATAAATTGAAATAAACATCTTTCCAATAAATTAAGGATTAAGTCTACAAATGCAACATCGCGCGCGGAATAATCCCGTAATTTCTTTCTTTCTCTCTTTCTCTCTCTCTCTCTCTCTCTCTCGTTCTCTCTGATTTAGAGTAGCTCAGAATTGTCAGCTTTTATTTAATTTCTACCTAATATGATGTGAAGTAAACGCATTTTATTAGCCCCTATTATTTCGCAATAAAGACATATTGCACACTTTGTATCTACTGCCAATTTCATTCAATTTGTTCACATGAAAGTGGCAGTTCGTTATTTAATAACGAGTAACCAAGTTTCCGAGGCTTAAAAGTACACATGACCACGCTCGTTTTTTCTTTTTAATTTCATCTTCCGATTTCTCCTTATCCCTATTTTCACCGTCTATTTTCAGCTTTCACTTCTCACCGCCGTCACTTCATTTCTTCTCGACTAAAGTTCATCGTTCATCCTATTTTTCCTCATAATCTAGTCTCTTTCATTTTTCACTTCGCTATCCTAAACTTCTTTTACATTTAATCGTTTTTGTTTTTCATCCGGGCTCATCACCAAGTCCCGTTCTTTCTCCACTCTCCTTCGTCTTCATTGTTTTCTCTACATTTTCCCTTAAATATTCACTTCGTCCACCTAATCTTGACGAGACTTATCATTTCCAACGCTTTTTCTAAACCTTAGCTTAAAAATCACTTCATGTTACAGAGTTCTTATTCTTTTAGCCACGTCAACTGATTTTCCTCTTTCACACATTTGCATCATCTTATTTTCTTATCATATCAATCATTTCTCGCATATGTCTGTCATTCATCATAATATATAAATATCTTCATAATTATTAGTGTATTCTACTTGCTTTTACTCCATCATCCACTCCAATATTCTCATCTCTACCTCCAACTTACTTGTCTGCCATTATTTATACGTTGCTTTAATGTAATTCGATCTCAAAACACTTTACTTCTAAATCTCAGCTTAAGAATCAGTAGAGTTCCTATTATCTTAGCTACGCCAATTGATTTCCTTTTTAACACACTTGTGTCTCTGTATTTTTTTATCATATCAAATTCGTTCTCTCGTTCATCTTCATTTATAAACGTTTTCATAATTACTATTAATAATTCATTTTCATAATTATTTATTTTACTCCATCGTCCAATATTCTCATATCTACCTTCGATTTACTTGCCTGCCACTATCTATTACTACACGTTTCCTTAATGTCATTTTACGCCAAGACACTTCACTTCCCTTGACTCCTTTTCTTCTTATTCCTGCCGTCCTTTCTCAATTTTCATCAACACCGTTCACAATCCTCAATGGAACGCGTTCTTCCTTTCATGTATCGTTATCATCTCCTCTCCTCTCGATTATCTCGTTCATTACATTCTCTCTGGCACTCCTCTCGTTATCCCGTATATACCTTCCTCTCCGTTTCTCCGTTCGTCTTCGCATCGCGATCCTTCCGCGCCTCGTTTTCCATCACCCTCCCTCGTCCACCCCCTCGCACGCTTTCCCCTCGGTCCCATTCTCACCATCGTCAAAACGTCGCGGCCCTCCCCCTCCCACGCGGCGGCATGGCACTCCGCGTGCTCTCCGTCTCGCTCCTGCGCCCGAACGGGCTTGCGCGCCTCATCCTGTACGGAAGAGGCCTCCTCGGCGAAGGAGGACCGTCAGGATCCCTGATCAGTTTACCGGCATTCCTCAGTCCGTGCGTTACGCGTCCGGTAGCAACGCGGCGGCCCGTCCTCGGTGCACTCGGTCACGTGCAACCACGCGAGACTACGGCTATCTTCGAACCGGGATGTCGGACCAGTTGCCGGTTTCACTGAGCAGCTCGCGATCCGCTTCGAGGCCTTGAGATATGAGATATTTCTTCGGGGATTTCCGAGCAGGTTTGAAACTAATTATTCCCAAACTCGGATGTGCGCTTCTCATTGTTTTACACGTGCAAGATCCGCTGTGTCGTTGAAAAGAATTGTTCACGCTTACTATCGTTACGAACGAGATCGACGGGTTTTCGTAAACAGTTTCTGTGCATTTCAGACGGTGGATTTATGTAAGTCCCGGCAAGGGTTTCGTTCGCGGGAAATCCTTCGCGTCGTCTCGATTAACTCGAACGCGGTTGTGTTAATGGAACACCGATCGGGAGTGTGAGGAAACCCGCGCGGCGCGCGAGTAAATTAACACGTTCGACTAAGGAGACTCTATCGCCGGGAAACCGCAGGGAGTACCGATTTTTAAGGAGGTTTCACCGCTGATCGATACGTCGAATTAAAAGTTAGTTCCCTTTCGCTACCGGATCCATTGTTCCGGTAGGTGAACGCGGTGAATGCAATCGCGTTTCCGCTGTGCCGTGTTGTTCGATCGTTCCGTCTTCGGACGCAGTCAGCTTTTTATGTCAGCCGTTCCATCATGCGCCCGGGACGATTTAAGTCGGATACATCAAGCCCCGACGCGCCGCGCAGGGTTCGGAGGAACGTAAATGATAATTCAAAGTACATTTACGGTGTTGACGTTTCTCTTTAAGCCTCGAATTTTGCCCCGCGAGCAATCTTTTCAAGGTGTTATGGATGGGACAGTCCCCTTTCTGAATGGGCTTCGCCGGATTTTAAAGGGAGCTTTGCTCCAGAAATTGTCGGCTCTCGTTATTAAATGTTTACGCGGGATAAATGTGTAAAAGTCGTTTAAAACTGTGGTCAGGAGTTATTATCTTTATTTGAATAATAAATAATTAGGGTAATGTGGAGGAACACGAGAATTGTGAGAAATGTTAATAAGCACGGTTATGAAGTTTTCATGAGAAGTTATTTGAATATATATTTTATAATTGTTGTCGGCCTCACTATTGTGAATTTTTTCTGAAAAAATGTTTTATACGGGGCCAAAAGAAAGGGAGCAGACAATACTGGTGGTTAGCGGGTAATGTTAATGAATCCAAACGAGACAGCGGCTAACGATAGTACTTTTCGCAGCCGGTTATTATTCGAAAACACAGAAGTAGCGAGCGCAGAAACCGCCGGCACGTCGCCGTCCCGCCGCGCGGTAGACGTAGAACGAAACTAATTTCCATCAAGAGGCCTCTCCCCACGATTTCTCCCGGTAGACTAGTTGCGCGCCTGTTTCCACCGCGAAACTTTTTAAACAACCCCATTCTTTTCGGCGGACAAAACGCGGCGCGTCGCAGCTCGAGGAAAGCGACCGGCTCGTTAATTTGTGAAAGAGCTACGATCGCTTTAACGTTAATGAAAGTCGGACCGTGTCCGCCCGGAATTAATTTAATTAAAATCGCCGATCTCGACCCGATACTCGTTCCCTATAACGAAGTACCCTAAAGTTCTCGGTATTCACCGAATTTTTCGCGCGCGTTCGAGTGGTTCTCCCCGGACACTCAGAGACCGATGGCATTTCTCTCGTTTAGTTTTTCCGCCAACAATAAAATGGCGAAAATCGGGGAACGGGAGAAAAATTGTCGTCCGGTTTTTAGGTGTCTCCCTGTTCCGTTACCTGAAAGAAGTATGCATCGAAACGTGACCGAAAACAGCGAGTCGCGCAGTCCTTAGGCACCGGAATAAATGGCGAAAACGCCGCGGGAATAATTGGATTGGTACTTCTGGCTCGGTGTCTTCGTTATCTTTTTTAATTGAGATACATTGTACACAAACGGGCGTCTGTGTTTGCACGCCCGTACTAGAGACACGTACGTATATAATATACATATACGTATGTATATTTATATACAGTACGTGCTGATATAGCTTTGCGCAAAGGCTTGGTGTCGATATTTCCGTGAAAATTAAAATTCTACGGCCACCGTCTCGCGTCTTTCGAGGCCACTCGATCGCCTTCGTAATTTACGATAATTGAGCAATTAGTAGAAGCTCTCTAATCACGGTGGATCGCGTGAAATAACACGGGAATTGATTTACATCGAAGGAACGCCCACGTGTACGCCGACAGATTTTCGCGCATTTATTTTCTTAAAATTTCCTTTGTACATCTCATTCAAAAATTTCGAAAATACTCAATTTAACTAAAGCTTTTTTATATTTTCAGTTATATCTTAGTGTTATAAAGAGAAAGCGTTTATTCGTATGTTCGAAATTTTATTATAATAATATTATTATAATAATATTGCATATTCGAAAATCTGAAAAACGACCTCAGATTGTATGAATTCTTAAATAGAGACAATGACAGAGATTTGAAATTGTAAATCTTAGACACTATATGTATAAATGAAATACTAGAAAATTTTAGAAATTCTTGGTGTCTTACGTCGAATGTCAAAATTTTCATATCATTTATAAAAGAATACATATAAATGCAACGATGAGAGAATTTTGTAATTCTGTATAATTGATAATATACATTTTAAGAATATTTTGAAATGGAAATTGTATCAACTACAAGAATATTATTTAAGATACACAATAAGAAGTAAGCAAAAGTAAGAAATGTAGACAAGGACTTGTAGACAATGCAAATAGTCGTAAGTCCGGTACATTTCTATAAAAAAGTATCAAAACCATATATTGGAATGTTAGGAATTATATGTTAAAAATGCCTTATGACCTAAGAAACAATTTTATAAACCTTATTCCTCTGCAAATATAATTTTCCTTAAAAGTTTCTCGTTCCAAACATTTCAGTTTTTTGTCACATTTTTTTAAACTTTTGGCAGAGATCGTATGGCATATACATCTTTATAACGTTCTTAAAGCGTCGCAAAATTTCTTAATGTAATATCTAATAATTGTCATAATTTGAATCTATTTTCATTGTTTTTGCACTTATGTAACTTTAAACATTCAGAACGAGCAGCAGCTTTCTTATACATAGCGGAGTGCCATAATGTATATTTATTTGTAAAGCGAACAACACAGTTATTATGAATAATTACGCAGTCGAAAAAGAGTGAAAATGGGTTCTTGCTTTTTTATCAATATTTTCTTAATGTGATGAGGTCTGGAAAATATTATGTAATCAACTGCTTGAAAATTAATTCATGGATTTTTCAAAATTCACGCCCTATTGGGATGAAACATATTTTTACGTATTTCTCACTATTGTTTAAGCTTAATGAATTATTGATTTGGTATTGGTTCACAAAGTAAACACATAGACATACCTAAAAATCAATTTCAGGATTTGTCCAGGAAATCAGGGTGAGCGAAAAGGTATAAAATGTATATGTATTTATAATATCTTTGATATGTTTGACGTTTCATTTAGATTTGTTCATTCATTTCTATTCGACACGTTTCAAGTTCTATACGCGATACTTTGTGCGGGAGAAGCCGCGACGAGGGGTGCTAGGAGGAATAAAAACGTATGTATAAAATACAAAGGTGATTAATTTCAAAAGTTTTCTATAATTGTGCCGAAAATGTTTTTACCATTGTTCGATATAAATATTTAACGGATGAAATCGCCCTACGATATGTTTTAACAAATACTTCGAAAACTATTCAAGTCACAAGTGAACAAGCTCTATATTTGTGAAAAAAGGTGTGCATACCGATTTATGGAACGGTATTCATAATTCAATCGCGGAGATACACGGGAATCGTTAAATTTCTCACCGCATTTCACGCTCTGCGCAAACAATGCATTTTCGGCGATAACTCATCTCTTATGTATTAGTATGGCCAGAAAAAATTGTGTTGCGGTAACCTGAATTTACTGCCCGGGTAATCTACGTATGTAGATACTTTCCCGCGGTGAAACGTTCATGTCTAATCAGACGTACAATCTGCAGCTATAACTCGTTTCAATCTAGTTATACGGACAACGCGATTAGTACCAATTATAATCCGTCATATCATAAACGCGTTTGACGTGATTAACGATCGATTCGCGGATATTGTTCCGGCTTCACATTGTAACGGTGGTAACGCTCGTTCGAAAAACTCAGAGACCAGATACGAATCAGTGCCTCATCGTTAATTACATTAATTGTTACATCGTGCCGTTTTGTCACTTTGTTTCTTGGGTAACAAGCACGAGAATGCTAGAGCGCCGGAAGGAGACAGGAAACTCGTGAGAATTAGCATCCGCGTTTCTGCGAAGCCGTTGTTGGTACCCGCTGTACAAATTCGCCTTATAAATCTCACGTCTAGCCGTTTCACGTCTTCCCTCTTCGGCGAATCCGCGTTCTCACGAATTTCAAATGCTGTTCGCAAGTTTTTTGACGCAACAGGCATAAATCAATCGGTCAGAATCTCGCCTCTTTCTTTCGCGGACCGCTTCTTGCGAATCGAGAATAATTGCTGACCAGTGGAACGTTTATGGAAGCTTTATGAAATTTTTTGTCCATGTAATCTATACTGCACGGTATATGTAATCTTTATTAAATATTGTGAGGGGTGACCGAAATAATGATTTTAGGAAATAAGGAATTTTCGCCAGCGTTAATAATTAATTGGATATTTCCTTAATATAGCCAATACATCCTTAATGCCTGTTACTTTGCAACATTCAGTGATAATGTAGTACGAATTTTAGAATTATTTAAATATTATTTACAGAGAAGTAAGGTTCATAAACTTCCTCGACCGGATTTCTTCAGTTACAGAAAATTTTTAACGAATAATTTTTAACATTCTAATATATGGTTTTGGCACTTGCTTAGATAGGATTCTATATGACTCACAACTGTTTACTTTAGCTTATTTTATACTGCGCATCTCAAATAATATTCTCAAAGTTGATATTATTTTAACTTTAGTATATTCTCAAACATGTATTAACAGTTATACAAAAATGTAAAATTCTCTTATTGTTGCACGTATATTTTCACGTGGCCTCGTGACATTTCTAAGATTTTGCACAGTATGTTTATTAATGCAATATTTAACAACTATTAAAAGTTCAATGTTTTGTCATTGTTTTT